CATTTATTCAGAATGGGATACAAATTTGAGATTATAATTCGGAATTTAGTATTTTACTGTTATTTTTTATTAGTGGGTGCTACTTATCAACAAATCACATATAGCCTTATATAAATTACAATGAAATATATATACGTAAGAAAATAACTACTCACCACAGTACTGAAATTTTGACTGCAACTATACGTGCATTCACCACAACTTCGCCGCTTGCATTGTTTTCAAGATGACTGTCGTGCAAAGGGCGGGCTCTGTAGGCAGTGCCGGTTTAAGTTAGTTCGCCGCCCGGTTCTGGAAAAAACACAACGCCCAATGCTTTAAAATATTATTTTTTAAAAACATTTTTAAATTTTTAAGTCTTACTTTCTCACGTCAAGTGGAAGATTAGGTTGGTTAGGCTGGTATCTAACAGTAAACTTAGTATCATATAAAATATAAAATGAGCCTTTATAAACAAATTATAAAATCTAATCAAAAGCACTAACTAAAAAATAAAACATTCCTTGGTTTATATAAACAATACTAAGTACTAAGAAAAACTAATCAAAAGTTATAAATAAATAAAACATTATTCTTTGGTATAAATAAATATTAAGAAATCCTAATACTAATAATTAAAAGGTTGTTTTCAAGTCTTTATAGTAGCAAATTGTTTTATAATACACATTTATTTCATCTAGCAGGTCTTGATAAATGGACAGAATTTCTAAGGAGTCTTTCTTGGGAAATTGTATTTCTTAGGTAGTTCTTAAATTTACCCTTTTTAGAGCAGAAAAAGATCGTTCACCACTTGCATTTGAAACCATTATAAAAAAAAATTCGCAGACAATTATTAATATTCGGAAATGAAGATATTAATTTATTTTCGTATAAAACTTATACTAATTCCAATGGAGTTTCTATTTTTATTTCCGAAAGGGAAGTTACCAGTTTCTTGAGTTGGACACATTTTTGAGGAAAAAACTCATCCAAATCCTCCACGAAGATTTATGCTCTTAGATTAAACAAAAATTCAAATTTGTTTGTGCCAGATTTCTAGCTATCATATCGACAAATGATTTCGGATTATAGATTGTCAATTATTAAAATAAAACATACTGTTCGCATTGTTTCTTTTTTGCTTAAACTTGCCTCTGAATTATTTTCTTCAAATTGTAATTTTCTTATGATTATCCGCTTCTGAGCATAATTTTCGTTTCCTGTTAATTTCCTCGTAATGATCAAAATGATCGTAAAAAATCAAAGTTCTCAACTAAAAATGACAAAAGATGAGCATTTGTGCTTAAATCCATATTTTTTTTTTCTGATGGAGAAGCTGCTTTAACTCTAACAACATTTTTCTCATTTGTATCCGTTGTCTCCGCCGACGCAGTGTCGCAATAATTTTTTTTCTAAATTCTAACGATTAAGTATTTTTTTTTAAATTATGGGCAGTACGCGGTACCGCCCCAAAAATATTTACCGCCCGGTGCTATAGTCCCCAAAAAACCCCTGTTAAACCGGCACTGTCTGTAGGTAATTTTAAAACGAGGACTTGACGTTTAAACTAATATTTCGCAGGAATTTTGAATTTTAACATTGGAAACAGAACTGACGGGTAAAAGTGGGTACAAAGATTATCAATTTTTATAAAATTGCTATTATTCGAATCTGTGATAAAATATGAAAAATACATTATTTAATTTTTATAGTTTGTAGTGAAATTGAAGAATTTAAGATAAATTAAATATATTTTAAAATAAAATCACTCAAATATTTGATTCAGGAGTTGTGACACGCCAAGGTACTGATGTTTTTAATATTTATTATGTTTTTCTACAAACGTGCTTTTGAAAAAATACATTAAAATTGGGTGGACAAGTTAAAAAAACCTCTATCTTTTGTAATATACTAAAATATTTACAAAAAATATTAAAATACCTACTCTATTGACTGATGACATCAAGTTGTCCAACTTTTGTAGAATCACCCATATACAATTTTTATATTGTATTTTAAAAAAATGTGTGGAATATTTTGATTAAATTATAAGGTAGATCATTTAGTTATATGACATAAAAAGCACAATGTATTCCAGGGAATTGTAAATAAAATTATTTACAATATGCACATAACAGCTGTTCGGCAAAATTCCCCGTAATACCGCTCCGGTGCTCAGGTGTTTTATGACGGCCAGACTGTGCAGAGCAATAACATCTCTACCTTTCGTGGAACAAAAACGTACGAAATGACGTCACAAGTTTCGTTCAAAACGGACCCTTTTTCTCGGAAATCGATAAATAAAGCGTAAAAGTGATTTTGAGAGTGGAAAATAACGTTGGGTGGCTTTTCTGGGTTTTACCTTTCGGTCGAAGGAATAGATTCAGAACCAGATCCTTTTTTTACCTTGAAACTACCAAACCTTACGTTTGCTTGCTTTTTAATTTGAATCGTTGAGATTAAGAACACTTTTAAATTCTCACAATGCATTTTAAAATTTAAAATTGATTTGAAGAAATAATTGGTAAAAATTAAACTTGACTTTTTTTTAAATTAAAAAAAAGTAATCCTTCGAACCGGATTTGAACCAGTGACCTATGGATGTCTATTTCTTGTAACCAACTACAGTCCACCGCTCTACCAACTGAGCTATCGAAGGTGATATACATTAAATTTCGGTGTCGAGTCAAGTACACCAAGTAGCAGAAAAAACGGGTTTAAATTTATTTCACTGTTCACGTTTTTTATTGCGACATATTTTTAACACGTGGTTTTGCTATAATTTGACAAATTGTCATAAAAAGTCATTTTAATAATCTATTCCAAGAAAATGCCGAAAAGAAAGAAATCGAGAAAGAATATTAATAGGAAAAAAATCAAAGGTATTTTTAAATTTATTTTGCATATTTTTACTAAGATATTAAATATTGATTTTTTTCTTTTAAACCTGGAATCGCTAATATCAAATCATAAGTTTATGCGCATAGTTCCGCAAATTTTAAAGATGTCACACGCTAGAACCTACTTAATATAGTTTTATTGCTGCAGGCGCACAGTGAAGAAAAAACATCAACTGATGTGCAAAATTAAAGCACCACTTTTTCGAAGATCTATTAAATTTGAATAAAATAAGTTTGCCAAAGGGTGTCAACGTGCGTGCAGTAGTTTCAGAAATACGCCCTTTAAACTACCCCCATGTCAAAAAAGTAAATTTAAAGATTTTTATAATACACATACATAGGTTACTCTTACGCTTCAAAAACTTATTAAAAAGGTCTGAAGATATTTTCTATTTCGACAAGATCCTTTATAGTGTTTTACAACCACGAGTTTTCCCTTGGGTTCCTGGAATTCACTTAAAAGTACCTGTAGAGTCGGGCCGCAGTGACTAGGGAATGCAATCTTGGTATACCAAGATCTCGAAATACCAAGATCTCGCACTAATTCTGTAAGATTAGTCTTGCCCGAAAATCATTCGCGATCTCGCAAGATATGCGAGAGTGGACGCAGCGCATTCTATGTTTGTTTTGTGGTTTTTCAGAAGTCATTTTCAAAATAATTTATAGTTTTTTTAATAAATAATTTTAGTCTTGTTTAGGTTTTTTGCTTCAATAGCTTGATGATTATTCGTATATAATATTACATACCACTAGTGATAAAATTTTACCCATAAAATGTGTGCAAGTGGCATTAATTTTTAAGTTTTAAATTAATGCCACAAGCGAAATTTCCAATGAAAAATCTTGAGTAAATAAAAATCAAAAATTTTTTCAGGGAAAATTTTATTACGAGTGGTATTAGGCAAGACAATTTCACGAATATATTTTTTTTAAATTAGATTTAAGTGCCTAGGTATACAATTTCTGCATGATTTTTTTGACCAAAACGCATTATTTTGACATTTTTATTTTAAAATTTGAAAGATCAACATTGACAATTATTTTTCGCATGGCAACCAATTGGTTGGTCGTATAAAGGAGTGTTTTTTTACCTAAATAGGTAGTAGTTTTATCGCTGCAACACTGAAAAAAATACTCGTTTTCTGAAATCTGATTGGTCCATAAAGTAATGAGCGGAATAGTCTTAAATAAATTATTTAATTTATGTTTTATTTCATTAATTTATTTTTTTATTAATCTTAAATCTGCGAGATCTCGCAAAATAGAGAGATCTTGCGAGATTACACCTCTTAAATCTTGCTATACATTTTCCTGCAAGATTGCAAGATTGATTTAGGAAACATTTATTTAAGGATTTGTAATTTTCTATGCTTAATGATAACATTACCTGTTATATTCCCCATCCTAACTTATCAAGCGGCCTCTTCCATTTTACCTCGTTCTTGTTAACCTTAATTTACGTCATGAGGAAGTCTTTTTTATACAAAATTTATAGAAATTTTGTTTAAAAAAAGACTTCCTTACAAGTCTTAGGACCCGCAAAAGAAGTAAAAACTACTTTTCACAGTGGTCACTTTGCTGGTTTACTAACATCACCTTCCAAAATCCACCCCATCAGAACACATTACTATGTTGCACCTTGTAAACCTCTTTTTTTTCGAACGTTTAATAAGGATATTTATTTGAGAATTTTTATTTTTACATTAGGTTCAAAAACCTAACAGATCAAATTTAATTTTTCATTAAATTAAATTCATTTCAGCTCCGCCGTACAATAATAATGACATTAAAGATTCTCAAAACCAGTTTTGCACATGCCTTTGAAAATAAGGATACAAATATTTGCATGTTGTTATAGCCAGCTTTCTTGTTAATTTAATAGACCAGCATTTAAGTTTTAAGTTGATAAATTATGGAAACTATTGACTGTTGTTATATTATACTTTTTACTGTTTTCTTTAGGCTTCGGGCTCCCACCAATTTAAATTAAGTTTAACTGTACTTATTTGGTATTTAAAAATGCAAGTTTAGTGGTTGAATTATTGCACTGTGCGGAGCATGCGCAGCAGATCGAATATCGCGTGGTCTTTCGTAGAGAGAGAATGGAATGGAACGGGGTACCGCTAATCGTGTGGCCTGGTGCATGCTACAGCTAAAAACGCTTAGTCTTTCCGATATCGCGCACCAAGTCACTATACATTTAACGTATCCAATCTAAACGCGTTAGATTCAACAGGTGACGTTGACAAACGGTGAAAAGGTCCTTACAAAAAGGATCTTTCGTTGAAAAGTGAATATCGGCATTTACATACCTACATATCTGTCTAGTGATTGAGTGAATATATTGATTGAATATATAGTTCTTTTGTGATGTGACAGTTGTTGTGGATTCAGGAATTTGATGTCACCTTACAGCCGATACCGGCCGTTGCCCGGTAGCGACGGTCTGGCCGTATTGCAGACGCCGCCAGGGTGCCGCCCCCAGCCACCCTCGGCCTGCCGTTTTTTGAGGTGGATATCGAAACTTAGCCCGCAACCGGTCAACAAGCAGGGTGGACTAGGCAGTAGAACTAGTTCTTGCCTTGAAAACTACGAAAATATAGGTATAGTACATTTTATTTCAATTTATATCGGTTAAACAGGGTGTCCCCGATAAATTTTACCTCATGTTCACTTAAATCAATCACAACTTTAAAATAACTAGTTACAATAGAATCTTTAGCGTAGGGGCTTACTTTTGTTTTCACAGATTTGAGAATAGTTTTCCTTTAAAAAGAAGCAATCAGTGCTTACTGCCCTACCCAAAGGTGATACGTGGTACCAAGAAATTTAAATTAATTCAAGCAAAGAATTCGTCAAGAAATTTAGCCCAGGCTTGCATATGTCAAGGAAGTATTGCACCTTCTCAAGACACCTTCAAAGGACACCTTGAAAATCTTATTTTCTACAATTAAATTTAATTTTATGATTGATTGATTTATTTTGAATCAATTCGTTTTATGCTGTTTTGAAATATCCTTACTCTTTGAAGTGAAAACTTGGGAAATTACGTATTTTGTTTTATTGGTGTTACTAAATAATTATGCGTGGGCTATCAAACTTATTTAAATAAATTTAAATTATGTTAAGCGAACTATTATGCGATAACATTAATGTATTACATAAAAATGAAAACAATTTTCAACATTTATCTTTTCAATTATAAAATTGTTGTGACAAGCTATATATACATATATGTTTATATTTACCAACAAATAATTAAATCTAAGAAACAAATTTATTTTTTGTCCAAAAAGAGTTCAATTTTTGTAAAAAATAAATATTTAGTTTTTAACCTAAAAAGTACTTAAAATATTTTGAGAGCTTTTATTAAAAAAGTGTTTGAATCAAAAATTTTCAAACCAGTGTAATTTTTACATTTGATGTCTAAATGGTGTATTGTGCAACTTATGGAAGAAATAGCAGATCCCTCGAGCGTGGAATCTCCTCTTTTAACCAATACTCGCACACAATATTTCATTCAACCACCGCAAGGAATTTGAAGCCAATTTTATTTAATATTGAATCTGATATCTGACAATTGTTAAGCAGTTTTAAAATTACTTTTTTTTTAATTTTAGCTAACTTCGGCCTGTGGGCAAAATGTTTTCGCCCACTAGTGGGCTAAGTAGAATTTCGCCCACCAGTTAAAGTTAATGAATGAAATAGATGTTAAATAAATATGTTATTTATAATTTGCAATTTTTATTTTAAGTTATTATAAGCTGCCTATTTAATTAACAGTCTTATCGATACCGGCGAAGCGAATGGATGTGTAGTTTGAGCGCTAAGTGCCGATCCACAATAAAATTCTTAAAGAAACATAATTATTATATACAGTGTAGTCGAGTAAAGTACGGTGCGAAACAGTGCGAAACAGTGCTAGTATTTTGGGTTACTACATACCTGTACAGGTGAAATCAGGGTACCTGTTCTCCGAGGGGTTAATAGAAACATTAAATAATTCCTCAAAAGGCAATCTCTCAACGGTGAACATAGGAGTGAGGTTCGTGCGGACACGAAATAATAAAGTGACAGGGGACAGGTCAAGGAATCACCTATTTAAAGAAAAAACAAATCATCATCACCAGCAGACTCTGATAAGTATTATTGCATGACCTAATACGCAAATCTGTAAAAAAAAACTGTCAACAATTAATCATTGCCGAAAACAGCGTACGTGTGAAAAAAAAAACCAAAAATGTTAGAAATAATTGTTCTTGGTAATAAGTATTAAAATATTAGTTCACAGGAATGCACTCTAATGTGTGGCCCGTGAAATCTACTGACTATTATTGTTTATGAAACACTCGACACGTTTATTTACTTAAGCAAGCACTAGACTTAGGGGTCTGGTGGTTATCTGCCGAGCAAGTAATTAGTCTTATGGTAAATTTGTACCAGTCGAAACTAATCATGTAGACTTAAACTATTTGTGATTGGTGTGTGCAATATATTTGGTTTATTGCTAACATAAGAACATCACAATATTATATTATTGTATTATATACATTATATAATATACGCAACTTACAGCTCAGCCACAAAGCAAAGCTAAAAGATATCGAATGTAAATAAACAAATCGCCCACGTAAATAAAGTAAATAAACCAACTATTAAAGCATACGTTACACGGCTGACACTAGGGCCGTATTTCAAATTTTAATTCGATACACCACAGGGCCGGCTTAATCTAATTAGTATTAACTTGGTTTTAAATTAAATTTGGAAAAAAAGTAAGAACGCAAAGACACAAATTAAATAATAATAAACGGTATAAAAAATAATTTAACAACAAAATAAATAGTTCACCAACAAGGACAGGTTCCAGCAGCGCACTAACACCCCGGCTCAAAAATACAAGAACAGCACAGAAGAAAGAAGAACGACCAATAGCCAAGCAGACCATATGGTGGCATTCCACCATACACTACAGGGCCGGCTTTACCGATTTTGTATATTAATATTTACATATAGATATGTATATATGTGTATATATATATATATATATATATGTATATATATATATTAATAATGTGTATATATATATATAAAAATATATTTTTAAATTAAATTTGGAAAAAAAAGTAAGAATGCAAAGATATAAATTAAATGAAAACGGTATAAACACTAATTTAGCAATAAAATAAATAAAGAGTATACAAGGTTGGTAACCGGAGTAAGCAAAGAACTAACATACCCACCCCCATTCACGAATACCAATTGAATGGGGTTACTACTAAGGCCTAGGTTGCGGAGGATTCCGGATTGTACTTAGTTTTGGGTCAGTTCAATGTCCTCCAAAAACCCTTCCTAAACTGGACGTATGGCCCGACCCGGCTGACAAAAATTCCGGGAGCGGCCTTAACCTTTGACACTGTCTTCCACGACCTCCTAGGGTGGATCTACCAGCCGGCGTAAAAACTTCGGATCCAACAAACACAGGTAATGCTGTGATTTGGCGGGATACGCAGGAGAACGAAAAGGGGGTAAAATATCCCCGGGAGATCGTGGAGGATAATATATCTGGGGCCTGCCATACGTTCCCATACTCATACTCATACTCATAAGCTGCCTATTTAATTAAAAATAAAACAGTTAGGTATCTGAAACAAACTATATTGTAAAATATGTACATTAAAGGCAATTAAAATTACAAATGTTAAGGTAAATATGTTTGGATTACAGTTAAAATTCTTTTACCAGGATTTTGGTTAATAATAGATAGGTAATTTATTAGTTTTAGAATAAATTCTTGGTACGAAAACACATATTTTATATAAAATGTTTAGTAATCGCAGTTTTACTACGAATAAAATTAAATTTGGACATCAGCTGTCGATATTAAACATTCTTGGGTTTTTTGTTTTCACTGTGAACGCATTAATAAAATTCTCGAAACACGCGGAAGCTCTAAAAACGTAAACACGAACAAAATTCTAATTATCAAGAAACACCTGGTAAATAAACAAAAAAACAATAGCATGGCGTAATTTTGCTTTGATCAACTCTTAAATTCCAAAAAGTTGAGGAGCACTTCATTGATATGTTTTCTACCTGCGTGCCTTTGTGTATTTTCCGAAATTCTACCAAGATTGCAATTTGTAATTTAAAAAGGCACCGACTGACGTAAATAAATTATTGACGTTGAACTGCATCCAAAATCGATTTTGTACTTTTGAAAAACGCAACGATTATTGCGCTCTGCCAAATGCTAAATCTATACCCAACTATTTCTGGGGGCGGTATTTTCAACAGACGTTTAAATTACTGCCACAAGCTTAAGAAATAGAATTTAAATTGATGGTTTTAATAATTGTTTAGATATTTAAAATATACGAGGTGTGTTCAGAAAATATCGGGAATTGTTAAATTTCGCGGGTTCGGAGGGTCCGGTTGTCATAAAATGTTCTTTATTATGTTGGTATACATGCCCCCGAAGTATGATAAAAACTTTAGCTGTTTTAATTGTTTACTTTGTCTGTGGCAGCCGCTAAGGTTAGACGTGTTTTATGAGCTCGGCGATTTTTCGTTCGTTAAAAAAATGGATCAAAGAATTTGTATCCAATATTGCTTAAAAAATGAAATAAATTCTGTGAAATGTTAACAAAGGCCTATAGTGAGTCTGCTATAAGTAAAACAAGAGTTTACAAGTGGTATAAGAGTTTCCAAGATGGCCGTGAAGACGTTAAAGATGACGAACGCCTCGAACGCACAAGCACATTAACAGCCGATAAAAACATGGAAAAAGTGGAAGAAATGGTTATAAACCATCAGAGAAGTCGCTGATGATGTTGGTATATTGGGTATGAAACGCGTGGCAGCAAAATTTGTTCTAAAATTGTTGAACAAAATTTTTGGCCAAAAACAATACTGTAATGATGCCCCAGACTCCATATTCGCCAGACATGCCTCTGTCTGACTTTTTCCTATTCCCAAAAATAAAGAAAACCTTAAAGGGCCGTCGTTTTGCAAGCATAGATGACATTAAAAGCGCATCGCTGAAAGAACTAAAGGCTATCCCGAAAATCGAGTTTTAGAAGTGTTTCGAGTATTGGAAGAAGAGCTGGCACATGTGCATAATATCCAATGGGGACTATTTTGAAGGCGACAACATTAATGTAGATAATAAATAAATATCGAGATAAATATTTGTTTCAAAAAACAAAAATTCCCGATATTTTCTGAACACACCTCGTAAATACAGTTAATACAGTGCAATTAATGATTAAAGATTAGTTTTAGTTAATTGGTACATTTTACTATTTAAAGAAAAAGTTCAGGTTATTTTTCCAGTTATTTTAATCTACTTTTTTTCTTAAAAATTCCACGATTTTCGTATGGTTTTTCACGTGAAATTCATCTAGAAATTCCTATTATTTATGTGATGTTATTAGTAATGGGTGTAATTATAATTATCAATAAAAATAAATATGTCGTTAATTAAACTCTGCTAATATATTTAATTTTGAGACGTAGAAAAAATGTGTGTATACAGTCGATAAGTATAAACAAATATACATATATGTACGCAATTCTAATACTAGAAAAAATTTAAATTCGA